AGTTAAGCCTGCCATGAAAATTATAGAAGGCAGAAAACAAAACGTTAAAACATTGTGATTTCAACTACAGCCATAGCTTAACTGGGTTCTATGCCGATTTGCGCTCCCCAGATCAACCCCGCTGACGGGTGATTGCTGTGGCAAAAAGATCGATAGAAATAGCTGAGAGACGTGCGAAACAAAGGACCCGCATGGTGTGGTGGTGAACGCGTTACTCCCCGGAAAGGATAATAGCGCGTTCGTTCCCCACCATAGACACCTGCGGTCCAGAGTTTTGCAAATATCTCAGCAACGTTGTGGTTGTATTTCGCTTAGTAACCTGCCATGAAAATTATAGAAGGCAGAAAACAAAACGTTAAAACATTGTGATTTCAACTACAGCCATAGCTTAACTGGGTTCTATGCCGATTTGCGCTCCCCAGATCAACCCCGCTGACGGGTGATTGCTGTGGCAAAAAGATCGATAGAAATAGCTGAGAGACGTGCGAAACAAAGGACCCGCATGGTGTGGTGGTGAACGCGTTACTCCCCGGAAAGGATAATAGCGCGTTCGTTCCCCACCATAGACACCTGCGGTCCAGAGTTTTGCAAATATCTCAGCAACGTTGTGGTTGTATTTCGCTTAGTAACCTGCCATGAAAATTATAGAAGGCAGAAAACAAAACGTTAAAACTCGTCCTATATACTTCCTTGTTACTCGATTTCTGGATTTTAGCCAAATTAACCCGTAAAACACAGCTCACGCAAACGAGGACACACCCACGCACGCGTGTATGAAAACGTCCTCGTGTGTGGTTTTGTTTCGCGATTAACACCTTATCCGCCACGTCGGAACGCACCACGTTTATTCGCTCCTAAACGGCCTCTATGATGGTAATCCGCGGTGTAATATTCTTACCCATCCTCAACGTACCTTCAATGAAGTGTTTGGTTGCTTACGTAAAAGGTATAGATCGTCTCAAAATTGCCATTCAGATTTAGGCGTTCTTAAATAACAGTAATAATTTAGCAATCTCTTCATGCTTCTCATTGAACAGTGCTATATTGTATGCTCTTTTTGTTGTCGGTTGGATGAGGTCCATTATAGCTATCATTTATGGTAATTAGTGCCCATGTTAAGCTTGCTGATATGTGGGACAAAAGCTAAGTATATTCATGGATTGCTCTACGAGTTTTTCTAAAGCAGACAAAAGCTTCCTTCTTGGAGGCCACTCTTAACTACTTCTCATGTACTTCGCAGCCAGTCGGTTGCAGACTTTTCACCGAGCTGACGTACAAAATATAATCCGCGCATATACACGAATCCATCCATAAACACAAACGTGATTACACTTATCTCTATGTGAGAAGCGTTGATCAGTCAAGCACGGTAGAAAGAGAGGTATATCGTGAAGACATCGCTTAAAAACACTTGCGTATCCCAAAAAATAGAAATTTATTTCTTATCTGAGTATTAAGCATATTTCCCTCAGCTGCTGCGCACCAAGAGGCTTCGCAACTTCATAATCTATGGTGAATACGTTATTGTGAGATAACCGTGGTCACCATTCTACGTTATAAAAAGTGAGGACGAAATGATTGTGAAAGAAATAAGCATTTCAAGGTGTGTAAGTCAATGCCGCCAACAATGGAACGCAATAAGTTTCCGAAGAAGGAACTGAGACCAATAAGGAGCGTTATAACAATGAATTACGAAAACATGCGAAGACTTAAGAACAGGTAATATTTAAGGCCAAGGTAAGTGTTTTCAGCTTTTAGTTTCACCTCTTGTCTAGAGCATTTTTATTTACCTGCTTAGCAACCTGTTACGTGTCTTCTCATATATTTCTTTTGAGTTCTGTATTCTTTCCGTCGAATTCAGTTCAGTTTAACTATGAATGCAACCACAAATCCTCGCAATGAAATTTTGTGGCTTTGCACACCTAAGACGGATTTTTTTTCTGAATAATGTCAGGTCCATAAAATTTGGCAATCGTAGAAAGGAACGTGTTGGTCGTAAGAGCCCACAAAGGAAACCAAAAGCAATTTCCGCTGCGAAGGAGCGTCGTGGTGTCACGGTGCTCGGCATCATACTCGGATGCTTCACCATTTGTTGGGCACCGTTTTTTGTGTGAGTTCTACATGCCGACGACTAGAAAAATTTAAAGCTATGTTTTATCTTATTTATTTGCTTCATAAAAAGCGACACCAGAATTCCTTAGACGAATAGTCAAAAACTTGAGTGATATCGTACCTACATTCACAATACTAAAAAAGTTTTTAATAAAGTTGGCACGCATAGATTAGAAACTAGTTCTGAGTTCTTCAAGTGGTCAGTGAAGTAAAACTCATATGGCCCCGATTCTCAAGCCATGCTATATCATTAATTAGCTTCTTACTCCCTGAAAAACTGGTTTCGCTGGTGATCAGTAAGAAAGTTTTATTCAAATATTGGGAATAAGTGCCAACAGACAGAAAAGTTCTTTTTTTCAGATCAGGTCAAGTGAAGTATTTCTCCTTAAGAAAAAGTTCATTATTCTTTCTATAGAATTTAACAAGTCTTTTGAAGGATGTACGTAGTGGTACAATTTTGTAAAGAGTGTAGCCCGAATCCTCACATAGAGATGTTCATCACCTGGCTCGGTTATAGTAATTCAGCTATGAATCCTATCATCTATACAGTAAGTTATTAAACGCCTTTATTTTAATATCTCTTAGATATGCTTAGCACTTTCAATTGCCTTAATTGCTGTTTTCAGGTATTCAACAGAGATTATCAAATCGCCTTAAAAAAACTGTTCAGTAATGAACGAAAGCTCGGACCATCAAGTGCCGTCTGACAACAGTCATATCGCAATTCTCTTTCACGGGATTGTTTTTTCAATTTACTTTTTACAGTGGTTCATAATGTATACAGATACGCACATATATGTTATATATAATTCCAGTGTTGTTTAGTATGTCGAATGAAGCTTTTTGCTTTAACAGTTTAAAACATTAGCAGTAGGCCCTTCGTTTCGCCTGCCTCTCATCTAGTTCCATCGATCTCTGCCATCAGCAAACAGCCCATTAACGGGTTTGATCTGGGGACCCACATCGGAATTAAACCCACTTAAACTGAGGCTCCAATTAAGCTCACAACGTCTGCTTTTTATTTTTTGCCTTCTATAACTTTTATAGTAGGGTATTAAGCGAAATCACCTGTGTCACCTGTATCATCTGTAGTCCAGTTGATCATCGAGTGACTCAAGCGGGCGCCGGCAAATCTTCCATTTTTCCCGGTCTCATGCAAGAGTACCCCAGTGGGTTTTGCTTACTCTAAAGATTCGTCTAGGTTCATATCTTTCTTTTAGGCTCTTCGTGAAGAACTCTGACTTCTGCGTCGGTAGTCTTTCTGCAGTACGTTTGACATCCCGATTAATCCAGTCACTAACGGCTCTTGTCCATCGGTTGTCATTCATACGCATTACGTGTCCGGCCCACCTTATCTTCGACTGTTTGACGTACAGAGCGGCATCTTTGGTCTTTGATTGTTGACTTAGGACGGAGCTTCAGATCCCATCTCTTACTTGTGTGGAACGGGATATTCTTAGCATCATCCTTTCGACTACGCGTTCAACGATGAGCGATCATTCATCCTCCTTACGCATCGACTAGTTTTCTGACGCATACGTTAGAGCAGGAAGTGCCGTTGAGTCGAAAAGGTGGTCACGGAGTCGGGTGCTCATTGTTCTCTTTACTACATCCTCGACGCTCTTCAAAGCTCCCCAAGCCGCTCGTTTTCTTCTGCTCTGCTGTGGAGCTAGGTCGTTCATCAAATTGATTTCCTGACCTAGATAGACATTATAGAGCATTCGGAGATATTCGCTCCGTTGAGCGTGAATAGGGCATACGGAACTAATCCGTTTCTCATTAGCATCGTTTCTGTGAGATTTAGTCGAAGACCAATCCTTCTACAGGCTCTGTCAAAGTCGGCAAGCACACGTTCTGCTTGGCTAATGTTTGGTATTATAAGGACGATGTCATCAGCAAAGCGAAGATGGTGTAACTGCCGACCATCGATTTTCACCCCTATATTATCCCATTCCAATGTTCGCATGACGTTCTGGAGAGTGACGGTAAATAATTTTGGCGAGGTGGTACTACCTTGCTTAACGTCTGTTTTGACTTCAATGTTCACATCGTTGTGGAATGGTGATATCTTGGTTGTGAAATTTCTGTACGGCTCACGAGGAATCTTTATGTACTGGGCAGTGTCTTCTTGACTATCAAGGGCTTCCAAGACTGCTTCTATCTCAACTGAATCAAAGGCCTTCTGTAAATCGATGAAAGTGAGACAGAGCTCTTTTGTACACTCGCGATACTTCAATGAGCCTTGTTATCGTGTGGATGTGGTCCATCGTACTAAATCCTTTTCGAAACCCTGCTTCCTCACATGGCTGTCCTTCGTCTAGTATTCTGTCAGTCTTGTTTAGGATGACTCAAGTGAAATTTTGTAGACGACAGACAGTAGGCAGATTGGGCGATAGCTGCCGATATCGTGTAGGTCACCTTTCTTAAAAATTAAGTAGGGACATTACATTCAGACCGGTAACGCGTGAAGAGCCGAGCCAGTGTGTTTACGAGCACTGGGGAAAGGTTCTTCAGGCGTTCTGGTCTTATCCCGTGAGGACCTGGTGCTGTTCAATTTTTCGCCAACGAAATAGCATGTCGGTTTTCGAAAGGGAGAACCGGTGGTACAACATACCCATCCTCCTTTATTTCGTATAATGGAAGGACCACGTGGCTATCGAAGAGATCCGAGTAGTAATCGTGAATGATTTTCTCTATTGGGTTTCTGGACGCTGTAACTGTTTCGTCTGGGTGCCGTAGTGCAATCATTTTGGTCTTATAATTGGCGAAGCTTTGGTGAGCTTTGCGAATGCTTTTCCCAGCCTCTACAACTTCGACCATTACTGCTGCTCTTCTCTCTTTAAGATCTTCTTTTATCGCTTGTCTGCATTGTTTTGCAAGTTCGGACGGTAGTCGCTGTTGCCTGCAGCTCGTGCGGTTCCACGCTGGCGTATCAGCTCGAGTGTTTCTGGAAACAAACGTCTATTGGTGGCTTTCAAACTCTCAGCATTCATAGTGCTAACGTGAAGATGTTGAATAAGCGTGGATTTAAGCGAAATACAACCACAATATTGCTGAGATATTTGCAAATCTCCGGACTGCAAGTTTTGCAAATATCTCAACAATATTGTGGTTCTATTTCGCTTAATATCCTGCCATAAAAATTATAGAAGGCAGGAAATAAAAAGTAAGCATTAGCAGTAGGTTCGACAGATACGTGGTCTCTATGAACCCTGACATGATTTTGGTTAAAAAGTGACCGGAAAGCTCACCGTTTTTTCAATGGATGAGATTCTCTAAACTTTCGTTTATTTTCAGAGAACTTTTTGCTGCCATTGCCAGCAAATAGCAAGTTCCCTACATGTTTAACAGTTTGACGACATAACTAAGCTGACTGATTTCGCTAAATAGCTTCCACGCATAAAATTTGAGAGCATCGTTGATAGGACCTGTGATTTCTTGTTGTAGATGACAAATGTTCTCTTTACTGTTCTGAATGTGTATCCCTATTAGTGATTTACCAAGTGTTATTATCAAACCTGTTCATAAGACGATTTAACATGCGTTGAAAGTACTTAAACTTTGATATTATCTATCTTCACCGATCCTCATTTTGCGCTATTTGATGCTCTGCTTTGGCACGCGAATCAAGAACACAGACGCGAAAAACTCTCGAGGCATTCTGGATTAATTCCAGAAATCCGAAAATGAACCGTAGGGAAGAATGCCTCATTATCACGCGTGATATGGGGCAGTATATAAGACTGCTATTCTGATGGGAGGGGCACATTTTGCTTTCATGTGAATTCTGTGCGGTTGGTCTTCACGCGACATACTTGGCGGAAACCTCATAGAAAGCGGCGAGTGTGCAAAGCTGTGTTCAATTTGATTGAAATCTTGGTTTAGAGTTCCTTTGTTTGGTTATGGAGGCGTCTGGCCGAGTAGGTTGCTATCAAGTTGACTTTTCCAGGCTCTGAGGAAGGCAAAATCCGCCGAAACGTCAGCTTATTCGTGAATAAAGAATAATAACACCCCGCGTTTGCTCAACAAAAATACGAAGAATTACTTGGTCAATGCCGAGGTTAATAGAAAGTCGGTCGTGAGAGCTCTGCTTTGGCTCCAGTGTTCTAATTTACTTTTCTTTAGTTATAAATATTGATGAAAAAGGTTTCAGCTCCAGTTTAAGGCGCGCATGACCATTCTTCCAGCACCATCATCGCCCAACAGACCTCCTGTTCCCTTCGAAGTCGGCAAAATGGCTTCCAACTTTTGAGGATGAGGTCTTTCAGATCCACAATTGTGGGTGACTACCTCTGGTCTAGACCGGTGATCTAATAGGTTCTAATGGAAACATCCCAGAATTCTAGAGGAAATGAACTCTACCACAATTTAACGGTATTCATGAGAAAGAAGACGTCCTCAGTAGCAGCTGAACGTTTGCCTAAATAACAGATGACACCGACGCACATGAATGATCGCCGGGATAGGCGAAATGTATGAAGTTATGTCAAATAAACAAGCAAATATCTTGAAAAATTTTTAGGTATATCTGTGCTATGTCCCTCGAGCAACCGAAGCCCGTCCTTCAGCTCTGATATGTTGCGGTGTCCTATGCCAAACTTTATTTCTTCACTGTATTGTAGAGCAATTGTGTAAATAGTCGACGCCCCAATGTCGTCTTTTCCTCGGACCTGTACATGTTTGTACGGTACGCACCATGATGTTTGCCTACTCACCACAAACCTAGGAGGAAATATTGATTCACAAGATTTTCGCCTACCTTTCACTCTTATCAAACTTTTGTTTATTTCAAGGAGATATCCTGCTTCTTCACCTGTCGATGTGGTCACAAATATTTCGTAATAAACTCCAATAATTGCTGGAATTCTGAGTTGAGCTATTTTGCTTTTCTTTTCTCTATCCTGATAAATGAGGCTTTCCTATTTCTGGAAAGATATCATTCGTTCCACGATTCCTTGGCGTCTTTAGAAATGCACTGAACAAATATTTTCAGCAAGATGTGGATTTCTCACTCCCAACCCATAAAATCACTTTCAGGTCATGCACATTGCTTTTTTATCGAAAAGGATAAACCTTATTCAAGGCATCGTCCTGGGTTTTAGTTTTATTACAATGGTAACTGTTCCTGCGAGTGTTATTATTTGTCCGAAAACTTCAGTGATCAGTAAATATCCAATATGATCAAATGTTTATAACTTTTCATGCCTATACTTAACTTCTCAGGATGATCAGCTGTTACTTTTCAGCTAAGTCATTTAGGCGAGCTAAATATTCCTAGTTGACACAGTATGAGGTTAAGGTCGTGAGAGCTAAATTGGATGTACTTTTTCCTTTTTATTGAATTTTCGATATTCCTGTATATCCTTTTCAAGACGCCCATTTTATTTCCATAAATCTGGAGAGGACTGGTCCATCATATTGACTTTTCTAGGCAGATACCGAGAGCTTTACCCTTCTAAAGCATTTACACCGTTGAGAATAAACGAGGCACCAGAAAAAAATTGATTTGTTATGAACATGGTCTTCTTTGGGTACCACGGTAGAACGAGCTCACCACTCGTACTTCCATCATCGGTTGCTAGCCATTCCATTTGGGTAGTGTTTGGTATTGTAAAGTTGACATGATCAGAAATGCGAATGTCATTACTGGCTCGTTTATACAATACTGTCAATGGTCTGGAGTATTGATTGCTGTTCTCTTCCACCACAATAGAATCTGGTGTTAGTCTTTTTCAATAACTTGCTTTAGTGATGTTCTTCTTTTACCCCTGGCAATACCAATAAGTGTTCGCAGAAATAGTGTTCAGGCTCCGAAGGGAATGTTATGCTTGTAGAAACATATACCACGAGGAAATACGGAAAAATTTCTTCGCCCAGTCATGAGCACTTCAGAGCGAATTCCAGCTTCAAAATGATCCAAATGCTCTTCAAACCAGAGCTGCCGAATAAATTATTCATTTTATTACGTGGATACCTGGATACATGGATACTTGGATGACCCATCCTAACTGGATGCGGGGTTCAGAACAATCTCTATTTTTTTGGAGTTTTGCTGATTTAGCCATTGTGGTTCCTAGGAGTCCCGACGTTAACCGGGCCACAATCTGCCCCAGGTCGTCACAGCCACAGGTAGTCGCCACACTTTTGAGTCCGAGGGAGATTTGCCACCATGCGACTAGTTTGCTACCAGGACTGTGATGCATCCTGGTATTGGTTTACGCTAAGCTGGGCTTCCTAATGGAAACGCCGGACTCCTCCTCAGCTTGCGAGAGCCTGCTGGGGTTATTAATCCCCACGCTGTGCATCGTAGTCCGACACCCAAGAGCACCTCCACCCACCATGAAGCGGTAACCTTTCTTAGAACTTATTTTATTAGTAAAAGTAATCGCGCGTTCGAAGCCAGTCAGAGTTCCGAGTTTTGCTCATATCTCAGCACTCTTGTGGCTATATTTCACATAATACCTTTCCATGAAAGAAGAATAGGCAAAATAGGCATTAAAAAAAGATTGATACACTTCGATAAGGCCTCCTAGCCCATTAAGCTAACACGAGTTTGAAAAAACGTTTATTTGGAAACTTTTCGACGTTTTCATATTCTCTAAAGCCGATGATCCGAGTCGATGGTTTAATCGCCCTCTCAATTTGCAATGTGCTAGCTAATTTAATTCCAACTTCTGCAAGCTGCATTGTCTATTGAAAACAAATTTTTATCAGTAGGTCATCAGCAACATCAACAACCGTTTCGCACAAAACGGCATCGCCAAGCAAAGTTTCTTTATTTAAGTGGTGCTCCACTGAGAAAGATTCGACTCGATACAACGACCAAGATACCACATCGAAAGAGCCAACGACTATAAGCCAGCGACTAGGACCATCGGCTCTGTAAGAAACGAAGACGTCGGAACCTTAGCCGAAGAAACCTCTTTATCAACCTTATGCTCGATTAAAAAACCAATGTGTTGTTTATTAATGGTGGGGTTAAATTACGGTCGGTATAGAAAGTATTTCCTCGATAATAGTTGGGAATTCTAGTAAATCATGTATCTGTACCAAAAGGCCTAATAAAATCAACAGTTTTGCCAAAAATGCGTCACAAAGGGCACATGAATTTTGTTGTAATGCTCCAACACTTGTGCAGCTAAAGTGCTCCTGAGGTGTTATGGATGTTGAATAATAGTATAGTGCAGTCGATAAAAGTGTAATAAGGCCAGTGATGTGTACTGGTCAGAGGTCCCTCTTGACTTGACCACGTGTCTAGGGAAATTAATCCCTCATTTTCCTGGAATAGGTAACTTGCTTCCAGACCTCCACAGAAGGATAAAAGACATTGATTTGATACAATGTGGCGTTTTCGCAAGCGTTGTACAGGCCAAAAACGATTTCAATCAACTCTAATGCACTTCATAAAGTCGGTGTATCGTGATCCGTTGAGGTTGGTAAACACCGAACACTTTGGTCGGTTTGCCTCCTAGTAAGGAAGAATGTGTGTTTTAACACGTTAAACATATACAACTTTCTGTATGTTTAACAACCAAAAGGCAGGAAAAGGATTAAGAGTGAATCTCTTGGAGCTGATCAGTATTTGGGGTGCTCTGTGCATGTGACTTTATCAAGTATTATACAGGTAACTGAGTGCAAACCAGACCTCTACAATAACTTTCGGTGGCCTACTGATGTGTCAAGTCAGGGTCACTAACTTTCTAGATAAGTTTGGCCCCAAGTTGCACACCTGGGTGGTATGGAAGGGTCTGCTAACACCGGAGACGATCAAATATATACTAAGGACACCTGTAACCACTACCCTGCAGGCGTTTTCCCAAACGGCCAGTGATGTATGTATTTCACGGATAATATATTTTAAAAAGCACTAAAAGATAAAAGAAGTATTGAAACATCAAAAGGTATTAAAAAATTAATGCACATTCTCGGTGTGGGTTGTCTGATAATATATTTTTAAGATTGCGTCTATTAGTGTGATTGGATTGGCATCTCGAATGATTATTAAGATGGAATATGTGTCTCGTGTTATTGGAACACGAGAATTGCTTACGGTAGCCGTATTGCTGCTCACAGTAGGAAGCTTTACCTTTACAACTGCACCACTAGTATTATTCTCTATAACAACCACTCATCGCACCACGATGATTACCGTATGTATTAGTGTAGCTAGTACTAGCACTAAAATCTGAGCAAGAAAAGGAAGCAGTTTTTATAAATATATCCAAAGATTTCCAGTTTAGTACACGGTTACAACATCATTCGTGTGTCTGTTGAGTATAGTCAGTGGATGGATCGGTTTTCATCTGAAAAACGAGGTACACCGTTCAAATTCTGTCCTTTACGAGAATTCACTACATCGAAATTCGTTCTAAGATTAACTCGGGCTTGATCCTAAATTGGATGAATCATAGCCTCTCTAATGAATACGGTAATCCTAATGCGCTCGAACTCACTTTATCACTAGATGAACTTCAAAGAAAGGCAAGTGTATTATTTTTTAAATACTAAGTTAAAAGAGAAAACCTTTTAGAAACCGAAATAGGTTTCCATGCTATTGTTGTGGGGTGCGGTGCAAAAGATTGGTTAGAAGAGGCCTGCCAAATACACATGTGCGCAGTCTTGATCTCACGTCGTCGACCAATCAAAAGTGCCTACCGTGGTCAACAAAGTGGCGCCAGGTTGCTAGATTTGCCTGGGGCATGGCAGCACCGTCTTTATACATCGGTACGATGTCGTAACCGGGAGCAGGGGTGCGAAGTCATCTTCACGGTGCCGCGAATGGAGTCTAATGCACGGCGTATATCTGAGAGATCAATCAATGCCGAAGGCACAACCATTGTGCCTTTGCTTTATTGTTAAAGAAGATTGACGTTATTTTTAGTACAAATGCTGTGGAATTACAGACGAAAGAAATTCAGCAGAATGGTTGAGTTCACATTGGTTCATTTCATATGACAAGTAAGACTACGTTGTAATTATGATTGTATATTAGTAGAAATTACTACACCGCTCATCTTAGGGATTTAATGAACAATCTTTTGTTTCGCTGCATGGTTATCGTTTCACATTTCAGGTGGCCAAGACCACGTGTACCGAAAAGTTGTTGTACAACATGTCAAGTAATTTTCTCCAGGTGATGAAAAATTTCTGGTCCTTCATTCATTTCCAGATTGCAAGTCTTCCTTCGTACAAGAGAAAATACACTAGTTTTACGAACCTTTTTTAGAGTAATTTTCAGGCTGTGCAACCTAGTCGTAGTGAATTCCTCAGCCGATTCCCTTTTCACCAACGCTCAGAGAATGTGCCGTATCGGTAAGCTTCCAGTTCATACCATAGTGGCTATACATTAATTCGCTTCAGATGGTTCGTCCACAGCAATCATTCTTTGGCCAGCAACATTTCATGGTCGACATCTTAATAGTGCATCACAATTACTTTAGCTCACGATTTTTGCTCTGAACAAACGCAAACATTGGTCAATGAGGAAGCCTGCCAAGGCCGTACAAGCGTTCCAGTGCCAAGAGAAATTTATATTCACACACATGTAAGACAAATTTCACGCAATTATGTAAATGTAGATAAAAAAGTGACAAAGGAAGTTGAAGTTGGCTTGCATTCTTAAAGGACGTAACCACTTTGTTTCTCGCAATACAGTTGCTGTAAATAATGACCTATGCACAAATAAAGGCCTCAGTCTAAGTTCCAATGCTTGTGTAGAAACGTCTTGCAATAAATGAATGGTCTTCGGTTTTATTTCACGACGTAGCTTAACCAAGCTTGTCATCCCTGTAGAGTCAGAAAATTGGTGCCAGATTTTTCTGCTAAGGTGATTAAAAGCCCTAATATGATATATCTTCCTGGTTTATATCTGGTTTCCTGAAAATGTGCGATGTTTAGCAACGTTTAACAGACGGCGATTCCTTCAGGGATTTAACAAAGCTCAAAACTTTTTACAATTTATCATTTAATTAATTTCAGGGGTGCTACAACCCACTGACAAAAGATTTGCTCTATTGCCTGAAGTCTACTTCTCTTGCATCAGCAGTCATGTTTTTTCTCACTTTCCTAGGGGCGTATGTATCACTCATTTTTTTCGAGTTTGCGCTGCAGCCTCGATGTTACGACTACGAACTCCCTCCATCTAGTGATATGATTGAGTCCGTATAAGAAAAAACTCGTCTTTTCTCTCGTTTTTGTCTATTTTTGCGGGTAGATGACTTGCGCGACTGTCACATTACTCTGGTCTTTCCTACTCTTTGCCAGTTTTATCGCAGTACTGTTCTAATGAATGTTTTTAACAAAGCCAGTAAGACTGTCGTTCAGATCTGCTCATTACAATATTTCTTGCACATATAAGATTTTATTTATGCAAAAGCACAATGGATATTAACAATAAGGAATAAAGAGTCTTGAAGCCATTAAATCTGAATATTCATATGACATTAGTTCACTCCCGACTTATGCAGCGACATTAGAAATCTTGAAAGAGCTAGAGAACAATTTTAAAATAACGGTTGACCCGAAACACCACTTCAGAGGCTTAATATTTCATTAAAATACTAGACGAAAAGCACAAAAAACGTCTTCCATAGAAGTTTCTCCTAAATTCCGAGGAAAACACCGTTACATTAGTTGTTCTTTTTAGCACTACAATTCGTATTCTCATCACTTGGCGATTCTATAATTAAAGAAATTCGTTCACGGCTAGCTACGTAAAGCAGTCGCACACAATGATATGAAATAAGGTAAAACAGAATTAATACGATAAGGAAGAAATCGAAATTGAGAGTGATAAGGGGATGTACAGAAGTCTCGCCGAGAAACGCGGAGCCGTGATGGCGGCCGACCAACCCGATGTAATGCAGTGCGGTGTCAAACGGTGTTGACGGCCGGTCACGAAATGCTCTTGACATCTCCTTGGCTACCATTTGATATCTAAAGTGTTGGATATGACGTTGAGTATAAATCAACGGCTATCTTTGTTTCACATGCGTTGAACATCAATTTTGACCAGGGTGCCCACAGCGCAGTGACAGCGATGCTGCGCAGTAGGAGCGAGCTGCTGGTCCGATCTCTCACTGGGCTTACAGGCCCACCTATCTCTCAGGAGCCTGAAATCTTAAACGAGTTTGGTCCAGGAATACCTCGTTTCCTCCAGTTCCCAAAAGCTGATAGGTACCTTTGATGAAGATGTGGAACTACACGTGCACGGTTATAAAAGGACTCCGGAAAGAATCGATTCGACCAGCACCCAGCGACGTTTATGAAAAAGACTGAAAATCTTAGGTAAGCAGCCGAACCCATAAACCCAAAAATTTTCTCAATGACGGATACGAGGAAATCAATAGGATACCAGAAGTGTAGGGATTCTCCAAACGTCTGGTTTCGGGTCTTGGGAATTGAAAGCGAAGTTATAAATAAACGCCAAGATTTTATTCTAAGCTTTGTAAATAGATATTTAGCCGACTTATAAAATAAACTATTATCTGTCTTCGGTTTTAGATCATTAGAAAGACCTTAGCACGAGTTCTAAGTGGGGATTTGAAATAAGCAACAGTGAGTTCATCTGATGCAATAATTTATTTGTTAATATGTAAGCAATGTCAAGGTATGCAGTAAAAACAGGAAGCAACACCCACAAAATAGTATCTCATTTAAATTAGAACAAGAAATTCAATGGGCAATTAATTCTACTCGTTCTACTCACCAAACCACTTTATAGGGGCAGTGGTCGGAGGCGCCCTGGAACACACACGTAGGATCAATCCCCGCGCCCATGGCCCAATGAGCCTTCCATTCCTCCGTAGTAAGCAAATTGGTACCAGACTTGCATGAAAGTATAGAACCATTTGCTCGATACATCGATAGGCCACCGCGAGTCATTGTAAAGCCAGATATGCATTCAATCACCTCCAAACGATGCTTAATGAAGTCGAATGCGTGGCCCATCCCTAAGGGATTGATCAATGCCGAAGGCTTTATCCTTTATCCCTCTTTTAATTAATTCTGTCTTTTTAAAATCTTGATTCGCAAAAAGTAAGGAAGCATTCTATGCACCAATCCACCTCAGATATATTGTCATAGTCGTGCTTTAAAGAAAGAGATGAGATGATGAATGTGGCTACTTCCCCACAGTGATCAACGAATATTAGCAAATTTATTAACAATGAATTACAACTGAATAAATCGTAATGATGTGAGGTATTTGCAAAACTCCGAATCGCGGGTGTCTGGGATGGGAAACGAACGCCCTATTACCCTTTCCGGGTGCTAACGAGTTCACTACCACACCTTGAGAGTCCTTCGTTTCGCCTGTCCCTCAGCCACTTCTATCGATCAGATTCTATCAAAAAAAAATTTTTTTTGGAACAGCTACTAGGCCCTGGTAACAGAAATGTATTAATGTTACTCATCATGAGACGCCGAATTCTGCACATTCCTTAGGCCATTTTCCAATCCTCTAGGTGAAAATGACAAAAGGAAATCCCATTAATTTTTGGACAAAAATGAATTATGTTTGAAAATTGTCAACTTCTAGGCCAGATTAGACTAGAATTAAAAATCTGAAGGCTTTTCCACCGCAAAATTGTATAAAGTGCATGATGGGTTGTTTCTCCCTCAGTTCGAGGATTCATCCATTGTAACTTCTTCAACCCTAACCAAACTATTATAAGAAGAACACATTGCTGAAAAATTGACAAAAACACACCAAAAACCGTTATGCCTGCTGCCGTCGTTAACACTTAGTGATCGAAGTGTGTAAACATCCACTCGGATATGGTTCGACCTAATGACTTGAGTGAGTTGATATCCACTCATAGGGAAAAAGAATTCATGCAGCGAAAAATTTGGCGTGGAATAGTTGCGGCGGTTACATGGACTTAGGCATCGGCCTTTTATACTTGATACTTGAATGGCACGTCCTAAGTGGTTGTGCGGACCCGAGCACAATCTCCATTCCTCGGACATTTGCTGGTTAAGCCATTATGATTCCCTGGAGTCCCGAGGTCAGCCTGGCCAAACTCTGCCCCAGGTCTTCACCACCACAGGCAGTCGCACCCCTTGTGGAACAGAGGGAGATTTACCACCGTGCGACTTTAATACCAAGACGGTGGCGGATTCTGGTGTTGGTATTGGTTTACTCTTAGCTAGACTTCCTGATGGAAACGCCGGACTCCTTCTTGCCTTGAGAGATCTTGCCAGGGAATGAGTGCCCGCTATACATCGCAGTCCGGCACCCAGGAAAACCTTCCAGCCACTATGAGGGGGTTAACCTTTAGGAGGGCATCGGTCTTTAAGTATTAAAATATGGCAGCATGACCGATTTTAAGGCATAAAATCTCTTGAATAAGTGCAGCGATTGAATTAGCAGCTTTATAAGAGCTTACCCACATTTCCATTACTTTACCAAACAACTTGTCAGTTGCAGATCAGAAGCTCTTCAGAAGTATGAGCAAAACAGCTTTAGCATAAAAATATTCGTTGATAAAAAAACTATAAAGACGTTTTAATCACATTATGAGAGCCTGAGGCGCAATCGCTTTAAAGTACATGCATAAGCTTGTAACGCATTCTTAAAATTTTATGCATTCTAGTTACTTCAATGGATAGCTGGACTATCGAATATATATATATATATATATATACGTATATGTGTTGAATCAAGAGTATTTCTGTGTAAAGAATCATTTAATTTAGTAAAGCAACAGTGGAGCTAGCATAGAAAAAAAGTAACTTATAAAAATAATAAATTGAAGGACTTGAATTGTCGGTAAAAACTCACGAATAAAAGGGTAAAGCCCTAAGCAATAATCATTCCCTGAGGGGGCGCCGACGAATTCGTTGTCATCAAATATCGTAGAGGTGAATGAATGAATATGTGGTTTTTGCAATAACTTCTAGTGGCCTACCGATGCATCAACTCAGTGCTTTTATCCTCCCAGACAAATTTGGCACCAGTTCTCTAACTCCGGAGGCATTTCGAGGGTTAGGATGGCAGGCATGTGACGTCCTTTCGAAGCACAAACTTGAACTCTTCTCACTCACGCTTTTGAAAGCCGTGTATGTTCAGGTTTACAAATTGGGGTCTTACCCTAACAGAGAAACCTAATAATAAGATTTGACAAAGAAATACGATTTCTATGGCCAGTGAGCTTACAAACGTCGTATCACTTTTTAGTGTCTTTTAGGTATCAAAAATATTGAAAACAAAGTGCGACCTACTTGCTTTCCTGTAACACCATTTTCATTGCTGACAACAAGTTGTTTTCCGAAAGATCCTTTTTAGTCACTATTAATCCCAATCCCTGAAATTAAGTGAAGGCTTTTCAAGATAAGTTTCAAAAACAACTATTTTGTTTTGATATAGTGATAAAATTCGTCAGGTTAACGAGTAAATGTAAGAGTCTTCTATTGATAAAGCTACTTTATTAGCAGCTTTTCGCAGATTGTAGTCGTTACTTCCATAGAGTGGAATGCCGACGATTGGAACACCGTGCGCTACTGCTTCCATCAGCGACGCCATCCCCCCGTTTGTTACCAGCAATCGGCAGGATTTATGTGCTAGAAAAGACCTCATGCAAGAAATAACTGGAAGAGAAGAAAGTCTTGAAAGGCCAACCAAGTAAGTCATTTTGAGGTAAATACGTGGTTAGGTTGATGTGAGATGGCACGTTATCTTCATTCAATCCCTTAAGTTGAACTTTGTGCCCGATTCGCCAATAGATACGATAGCTTGAAAGTTCGGAAAGTGCACCCATGATAGCCTTTACCTGAAATCGAGAGTTCGAAATAGAATCCTTTACACTATAGGGTTTCATTTTATCTATAAACGATTTCCTTATAAGAAAGAATATTAACACCGGAGTAAATTTGCATATGATGATCAAGTTAATCCAAAAAAATATGAAGTTTGACTATTTGGTGTCGATTTAAACTCACACAAAACGAATGGAGTGTACAAATTAAAGTGTTCGAGAGTGATCAAGCCTTGAGAAATACAGGATGCTCCTTAATTCATTAAGCATCATAGGAGGCGACTGTATGAGAATTCGGCGTGTGCACGAGACGACCAATGTATCTTCTCAGGTAAATCTGCCACATATTCTCGACACCGGAACGATAGTGGGTTTAGTTCGCCCACGACATGAGATCGAAGTAGTAATTATGTGTGTAATGCAGGACAATTCTAATCACTGTATTGCATGCGCCCTTGGAAAAGTTGATAAGTTAAGCAAGCCCACTACCTCGACAATGCGGTGCTTTTCGAAGTTTCGAGCAAAATGACGCTATGAGAATTGCGAATACCAATTTTGCTCGACACTGGGACAAGGCAATCGAATACCTGCTCTTCCTTCATTTCTGCATGGTTCGCCTGTGTGCCGAGACTGACAATGATTAGACCCTTTTCTGCAGACTCAATCGAGGTGTTCCAAGGCTAAATTGTAAACGCATAAAAGGTAACGTCTAGACTAATATTAGTTGGTATCAGTTCTAATGAAGTAGGTCATTCTATTGTGACGCAGCAACTATCATTGTGAGTTGACATGTTTACTTAAAGTTGGTGCCGATGCACTATGATTTGTACTGGTTTGATTATGAAGAATCCAAACACTTACAGCAAAAAGTGGCCGCGGATGTTCGATATGCAATCCTCCGACATGAATAACTCGTGGAGGCAACGATCTTGGATACTCCAACAGCGGGTCAGTGTTGACAAAGAAAAATGAAGATGATCGTAGAAGTGTTGATGTGCTTGGAAATGTTTTAAATCTAAAATGCCGGCTTTCTCGACATATGCGCGTTAAAGGAGTTACCGACATATTTAAACCTTTTCTTTAACGCGGAGTCCTCAGCGAACATTGCAGCGATGGGAGAACTAAGTAATTTGTACTTTCTGGATATCAGTTTGGAAAGCACAGGTATGTCGCTTTGGATTAGAAACTCTCTCATGTAGCAGATGCCGTTTCGTATCCGATTGAGAGAGTTATAAAACGAGATCTGAAGTTTCAGTGCGAAAAAGAAGATGAAAGAAAAGAAGTAAAGGCATCGTTTCAATTCTTTCCCGGATTTTTTCAATAGTAATGGGCTAAACATTTTTTGGCACCTTTCGTTAACGGAAATGGGTCAAGAGACTAGGAGAGGGCTAATGAGGATCATCAATGAAATCGTAAGGTTTAATAAATCCCATAACATTTTCACGCGACCCGTATATAAAAATGGCTGAGGAGGAACGGGAACCTCCACAGGTATATTTGTGTCCACCCCGAAGAGGAAACACCATGGAACAAAAAGTATCTATAAGTTCGTTGCTATAAGCTTCTCATAGCAAGAAGATTTTTGAAACAAAGGCTTTTGAACTGATTCATATGTGAAATCCATACTGATGGCAGGAAACACCGTGAAGGCGGCACATCAAGGTTGAGCGGTGAGTTTGACGCCACAAGCGTCTCGTCAGAAAGTCCTGAAACCATTGTCTGAGGAATTTATAGAATGTTATCTTAGGTTAAAAATTTAAATAGTTGGTAATTCGTTTATCGAGATTGAGTTTAGCAAATTTAGAGGTCGATTTCACTTTTTAAATCTATTTGACATACCTTCCAAGTCGAAGTAGATGACTGGAACAGCCAACACGTAGGCGATAGCAAGTTGACATGGATTTCCTGAGTACACTATGGCAACATCGAGAGACTCTTTTTTTAGTGTGTCAAATAAGTTCGAGTTTAGCATCTTAAAAGTCGCTCTTCACTAAACTGCAACCATATTCGATCAAGTGCTAAGGAATGATATATTAGACGGTGCATTATTCCAAAAGAGTTTTCCTTTCTAATCCATTTTAACACTTTACTTGAAACGCTCACTACTTATAACTGCTTAAACTTATATGAAATATTGAAGAGGATTATTCAGAGCCGCCCTTCACAATATTTGTTCTTTCTTTCTTAGTTTTCTTTTTAAACAGTTATTGCCACGTACTTTCATACCAATCGTAAAGTACAATGAATTTTTGGTAGATATAGCTTTTTTCATTAATTCCTCCTTATTAACTTTGCTCTTAATTTTTGATGAACATCGTTTAAGGTTAAGATTAGGTTTTTTAAGGTTAGCGGTTATTTGGAAAAAAAAAACATAAAAAGGAAAGAACGCGCACATTGAGCATATTCGTCACGCTGCACATTCGATTCAATGCATGTGACAAGGAACAGCTTTAATCGTTGAGCCCCCAAAAAAGACGGATTTACAACCATTAAGAGTAAACATTTCTACTTGGAACAAAAGGCACCTGAATCTGTAAATCTTTCCTTGCCAAATGCAACGTTTCTTGTGCTGCCACGGTGAATTTGAAATTTTAAGCGCTCTAGAAATGCATTAGTATCGTTACGTTTATGACTAATATTATTGAAAATCAGGTGGCGCAGTGGTACTGATCCCGTTCATTGAGCGGACGGCCCAGGAACCAGTTCGACCCTTCACCGAATCCACCAGATCGCTCATCTCACCCAGGTTCGTTAGATTGGTAGTAGACTTATCTGGGAACTGTTCACCCACTCCATTCTATATGGGAGCGCTCTAAACCGGCTACCCCAGGAAGAATCTGCGCGGCTAGCATTCACCGATATTACTCTTCAAGGGGCAACCGAATTCACATGCAAAGGTTCGAAGACCTGGGCTGGCGATGCATGCCAGGAAACGAGTAGAATGTAAGAAGTGCTGGCTTCCGCACGCTGTGCTACTACCCGTGAGGGAGGCTGCGGGTCATGTAATAATAATGATAAATAAACAGCCACAAGTATGCTGAGATATGTGTGCAAAACTGAGAACGTGAGCTCACGGAGAGGTTAATCGCGGTTACGAATGCGTCTTGCGCTCCGAGTTTTGCAATTATCTCAGAATCCTTATCGTTATATTTTGTTTAAAACCCTGCAACAAAAAAAAACATTGGAGAGTATATAAAAAGTTGAAACGGTGTTATTTCAACTGCTGCTTCAGATTAACTAGGTCCAATGCCGATTGATGGTTAACTGTCATTATTATTTTCGTTCTCGTCAGGATCATATTCTTCCAGGGAGGTGATTGAGAAAGCAGAATTTCGCCTAGCAGTGGAAATACGATGCTCTAAGAAGCTTCAGATGCGTCATTTGTAAGAAAGGATGCTGAATTTGAGCTGAAGATTTTCAAAACTGGTTGCTCCAAAGATGCTGAGATATTTGTAAAACTCTGGGGCGCAGGTCATCAAGTACGCCTACGGTGCGGAGTTTCCCAAATATCTCAGCACCAATGTTATTATAATTCCCACGACCGACTTTCTTTTAACCTCAGCACTGATTGATAATTCGATGCTTTTCTTCAATAACAAGGACACGAGGTTGCTATCATAGAATTTATTAGGATACAATAGCTGACGTTTCGGCGGTTTCGCCTTCTTCAGAGCCTGGAAAAGTCAAATTGAGGGGCGATCTACCCAGCCAAACACTTCCATAACCACAGCAGATAAAACTTAATAAATAAATTTGCATTCGCATAAGAAACAGCTTCATTTAAACACCTACCGTTTGTTGTAAATATTTAAGTTAGTTGATGGATAGCAGCCGCACGAAGTAATGGGCGATAACTGTGTCTGTGTCAGGTCACTGGATTAGCCTGAGGTATGGCGCCAGGTCACGCGTGATGACAACACTCCTCCTCACGGTTCATTTTGATTTTTTGGAATTGATCCAAAACGCTTCAAGAGTTTTACGCGCTGATGTTTTTGATTCGTGCGTGAGGATAGTGACTCCTACCTCAAAATCTTCTCCGTTGTGTTCCTGCATCCTATGCGCGCCTAGTGGTGTGATTGGTTTTAATTTAGATTTACCGACTAGGTGTTCTATTATGCGGACGCAGAGCGGTATACCCGTTTCGCCAACGTATTCGTCCCTGCACGGTTCACAAGAGAACAGATAGACTGTGCTCGAACTCATGCAATCACCGTCTCTACCGTTAGGGCAAATTATGCAGTTTTTCGTTATGCATAGACGGTCATATAGGCGGTTGCGAACTAGCTGGCGTCTTAGAGTGTCCGGTGGTATTTCTATCACTCTTACGGAATTCTCTAGACCGGCGCTTATTAAGCAACGTTTTATAGCTGCACTTATTGTATCCTAATAAATCCTATAATAACAATCTCTTGTCTGCTTATTGAAGAAAAACATCGAATTATCAATCAATACCGAGGCTAAAAGAAAGTCGGTCGTGGGAATTGTTACGTGAAGTGCCAGCAGAATATTTCCGACTTGTAAAAGAAGTCTTGTCACTGAGACAAAAAAAATTGTCTTAGCTAGACAAACGATACTCTTTCTCCGCCGCTGCCTCAAACACCAAGTCGTGCCGAACTTCGTCAAACGAAAACGACTACACGATGTGTACGGCCTACCGAGGTACAGCCAACTTGTACTGGACATCGAAACGCGATTACTACGCGCCTCCCTTCGATGCAAACAGGGCACCATGTACGCGCAATTGAAGAAGTGCAAGTCTCGTCATATACAGCTAAATTTTTTCTTCGTGATCTATGACATGAATTCCCACGACCGACTTTCTTTTAACCTCGGCATTGATTGATAATTCGATGTTTTTCTTCAATAAGCAGACAAGAGATTGTTATTATAGGATTTATTAGGATACAATAAGTGCAGCTATAAAACGTTGCTTAATAAGGGCCGGTCTAGAAAATTCCGTAAGAGTGATAGAAATACCATCGGGCACTCTACGACGCCAGCTAGTTCGCAAGCGCCTATATGACACTCTATGTATAACGAAAAACTGCATAATTTGCCCTAACGGTAGAGACGGTGATTGCATGAGTTCGGGCACAGTCTAACTGATCTCTTGTAAAGCGTGCGGGGACGAATACGTTGGCGAAACGGGTATACCGCTCTGCGTCCGCGTAGAAGAACACCTAGTCGGTAAATCTAAATTAAAACCAATCACTCCACTAGGCGCGCATAGGATACCGGAACACAACGGAGAAGATTTTGAAGTAGGAGTCACTCGTACATAATGCTGAGATATTTGCAAAACTCCGGACCGCAGGTGCATGTGGTGGGGAACGAACGCGCGCTATTGTCCTTTCCGGGGAGCAGCGCACTTCACCACCACACCATCCGGGTCCTTCGTTTTGGCTGTCTCTCAGCTAGTTCTATTGATCTTTTTTTTTTTGCAAATATCTCAGTATTATATACGAGTAACATTTCGCAACATACCCTCCCATTAAAAAGAAAAAGGCAGTAAATAAAAGGGTTAATATTGTAAATATAACTAAGCCTCAGCTTAACTGGGTTCAATGCCGATTTGGCCTCCCCAGATCAATCCCGTTGACGGGTGATTGCTGATGGCAAAGGATCAATGGAATAGCTGAGGAACAGTCAAAACGAAGGACCCGGATGGTGTAGTGGTCAAGTGCGCTACTCCCCGGAAAGGACAATAGCGCCCGTTCGTTTTCCACCACATACACCTGCGGTCCGGAGTTTTGCAAATATCTCAGCATTATGTAGGAGTCACTATCCTCACGCACGAATCAAAAACATCAGCGCGTAAAACTCTTGGAGCGTTTTGGATCAATTCCAAAAATTCAAAATGAACCGTGTGGAGGAGTGTTGTCATCACGCGTGACCTGGCGCCATACCTCAGGCTAATCCAATGACCTGACACAGACACAGTCCTCGTCCATGTATTACTCTGTGCGGCTGCTATCCACCAAATTAAATACTTACAACAAATAAACGGTAGGTGTTTAAATGAAGCTGTTTCTTATGCGAATACAAATTTATTTGTTAAGTTTTATCTGCTAGGGTTATGAAAGTGTTCGGCTGAGTAGATCACATCTCATTTTGACCTTTCCAGACTCTGAAGAAGGAACAATCCGTACAACAATGGAATATGAACAATCGGAAAGCAAAATTAAATAAAGTAAGCGTCTTAGGTATGGAGCAACGAGTCAAAACAGATCATCCATGTACCTAGAAAATATCAGGTGATTAGGAGAGGTCAAATACTTAAGCTATGGGAAAGAGAGACACGCAAGCACCATTGAAAGAAAAAAATTTAAATATTTACTAGTTCATTAAGCAGCAACATGTCGCACTCCCCAGTCGTCGGTTTGTCGCAGTCGCACGGTCTGGACTCCCCAGATCAATCCTTTTGACGGGTGATTGCTGATGGCAGAACATCGATAGAACTAGCTGAGAGAGAGGCGAAACGAAGGACCCGCATGGTGTGGTTGTGAACGCGTTACTCCCCGAAAAGGGCAACAGCGCGTTCGTTCTCCACCGCAGACACCTATGGTCCGGAGTTTTGTAAATATCTCAGCATTATAGTAGTTATATTATCATTAATGTTCATGGGAAGAGCAGTGGTTAATGGTCCCGCACAATATACGCATGCCCAATAGTCCCACTTCGTCCGTGCTCACTCAAAATTTACATTCCACCGGAGCTTACAATTTGGTACCAACGCTCTTTTCCAGTTATCTCTAGGAATTCAAAGAGAGTTATTTCGATTAGCATTTAACGACATTCATGAGAAAAATAAAACTCCCGATTGGAGGCAAACGAGCAGGCAAATCCAAAACTTCCGTGAGTAACAAGTAAGCAACGAAGAACCAAATGAGAGAAGCCACTGCGATCCTCAGTGTATGCGTAATCAAACCATATGAACGGGTTGATAGGTAAAAGAAAGGTGATCATTTCTCAAGGCAGAAAATAATACAAATTAGAGGAGGTTAAATGAGGGTCGGCACGAAAAATGTTGATTTGCTACTCGATAATCCGTAGCCAACATGATGCCGACTACTGCAAAATGAACTATCCGTTGAAAAACAAATTTTTATTAGCGGATAGCCGCTTTTAGTAGCCGTCCTGCATAAAAGAGCGTTGCCGGGTGAGTTGCCTCATTGAAGATGTCACACCGAGAAGTTGAAAGGCTGGGGACCATCGACTGAGATCATCGGCTCTGAGAAAGAAGAAGACGTGGAAGCATTAGCGGAATAAACGTCTTTATCAGCTTCGCGTCAGCTTAACAATCGAAGAAGGTATAAAAATTGACGATGAAGACAGAAAAAATAATCAAGATTCTTTAAATGGGAACTTTGGGTGTGAAAGTGATTTTACGCTCATTGGTATCACAACTAGATAGAAGCATTTTAATAAATTGACCAAATGAAGCCTTATGGCACGGTTTTTTTGCAAAGGTGAGCGGCACTTTGTGTCTAGGGAAACTTCAGGGAGGCTCACGTATTCATTTCACCACCGAAGCCTTTGATATCGAACCTTCCAATCTTTGCTTTTACTCTACCGATGCCATCAGGAACCCCTGCCAAAAGGATTGATCTGGGAAGCACAAATCGATGCAGAACCTAGTTAAGCTAATGCTGATTTAGAAACCACAGTGGTTTCATTTTTATTTATGGCCTATTTCAGGTAGTAAGCCAAAGTTGAGAAAGCTCAAATAATCTCAATGTGAAACTCTTTCAACATTATTACCTTGTAGCAGCTAGCATTATGTGCAGTCCAATAAACCTCGTCATACGCTTCGTCCTCGTATTCATTTTTCCAAGGAATTACATCACCTGCTTTTACCAAATCGACGTACATATTTCTAAACAAACCAAAACTATGAAAATTTATGGTGAGAATCTTAAAACTTTTTTTAAGAACACTCACTGCGGAAGTAAGTTTTTAAGCGTTTTTTCTTTGACTAGGTGTAGTTTAGGTTTGACAAGTCGTGGTTCCTCGGGAATAAGGATGGGCTTCACTGTGATCACATTATGATGTCGAAGGGCTAACTGTTGTGCAAGAAATTCAAATATGTTCCTCTCGAATTGGTTCGTTCCCAGCAGGAAGAGTAAGATGTTTAGGGAAACGCATTGCGGGAGAAGGAAAAGAATAGAAATGAATTGGCGCATTTTTTTAACTCTGAAAAAAGTAGTAATTGCCAGTAATTCAGAGCTGTTATCTATGAATTATCATGAATAAAGGTGTTTAATTGTCAACGCCAGCTAACGGATGTGGTGAAGCATAAAACTGTGTCTTTGGACTCACTAACAAAATATGAATGAAAAAAATTTCGTAGAGCAAATACAATTACCTTAACTACAGTACTGCTGCCTAGTGTATGGACTAATCAGCTCTTACTTTATCTTTTTAAGAGCGATTTCTCAGCCTTGTTTTTCATACTTAAATCATAGAAAGTTCAAATACTTGCAAACAATGGAGATCTTTTCGTCACTTTGCCATCATAAGTGCTCTTAGGTGCAATAAAATAAAAAAAGGATAAAGCTTTCGGCTTTGATCAATCCCTGAAGGATGCGCCATGCATTCGACTTCATTAAGTATTGTTGGATGTGATTGAATATGCATATCTGGCCTTTACAAATGATTCGCGGTGGTCTGCCGATGTATCGAGCCAGTGCTTCTACCCTCCCGATCAAGTCCGGTACCAATTTGCCGACCCCAGAGGGATGGAAGGCTTGTTGAGCCATGGGCCCAGGGATCAATTCTACGTGTGTGTCGCAGTAGCGCCTTCAACCACTACGCCACACGCGTCCTGAGTGTGAATTTATTTGCAGAAAGATTTTTTGTAGTAAGGCTACGCGTAAAATAATTTCGCCTGAAGTGAAAGCTGTAATGCGAAAAATGCTTGATAAAATAAGGATATGACCATGCAGAATGAAGCTAGATTAACTTTGAAACTTTGTGAAATTACAATAAGATTTTTAAGCCGATATTAGCGTCAATTTTTCTTTTCAAATGACACTTGGATAACCAGTTCAAACTAATCGTGAGAATCGTGCGAGCGTTAGCACGATTTCCACTCAACCAAGAAATTTTGGGTCAGCTTGTTCTTCTCTGCAGCTTCGTAACCCGTATTTAGGTTTTCCCAAGTTGCAAGTCAGTAACTAGTTGCTAGCCACGTTGTTCACAGGATGACAACTATTTGTAGACCAGCTTGGGCCTGGTTACGCCTGCGAATAGAAATGAGTAGATGGCAGTGCTAGAGATGGGTGATCTCGCCGTGAAAAGTCGAGACCTCTCTAAAAACCCAAGAACACTTTTCGTCAATGACAAATCGGCAAATCAGTGAACACATGTTACTTTTAACGGCGACCAGAGGCAAAAATAAACTGAAATAGAACCGCTATGAATGCGTTAACTCATAATATAAAATTTGCTTCATCCATAGGGAAGTACGGTAGAGAAAACTGTATTTTATATTAACTAAGCATCATACACACGTGAATGGTGGAGAGTTCTCTATGTTGAATGTCATAATATGTGGAAGAAACATGGTGTGATTAAGGAAGAGGAAACGTCTAGCGATGTGGAACCAAGGGTGGCACAGTAAACACGCGGAGCCGATATTTTGTTTGAACGCCAATCTGTTGGTAAATGGTCAAGGTCAGCCAGTGCTCAAATAAAAATGAGAGGCTATTAGGTTATTTCATCCGGATTATGAAGTAAAGTTTTACGAGAAAAGACCCTCAGGTGCGGCGAAACAGAAAGAGCATTACAATAGTGTTCCTTAATTTTCCCAATAAGAAAAGAAACCCTAGATTCAAAGTAAATTTTAGGCTCCATGTCGTATTACTTGTTAAATCATAGTCCACGCAACTTACATCATGGTATACAATTCACTTCTTTCTTATCTTCACACTTAGTATCTTGGCGAGAAGAAATCTTTCCCGGAATCGTTAATCCCGAATGCAATTTGAGATCACGAACATCTAAAGTAACACAGCTTTATAGCCAAAAGGTAACAAGAAGGCGTCCGATTGAGCTCGCTGGCTTGCCAATTCATGCACTGCTTACAACCCGCATAACATCACTTAACCTATACGCGAACACCGTTAATTTCCCCAATGCTACAGAAACAGTAAAACTCGTCCGTGATGTAAACACTGCAATGCTGGCCTTTTTATTTCGACAATAGAGAGTAAATTTTCGAAAGCTGGAAGTTTTGTAGGATTCAGGAATGTCGCAATCCTATATACGAGGTTTTAGCCTGCTACGTGTTGATATATTTTCCTACTTAAAGATACTGCGATTATTTATCTATATATATAAAATAATAAAATTTATATGAAATATCTTATGAAGACGAAGACGTCGAAGCGTTAGCTGAATAAACATCTCGTATCAACCTCGTGTAAGCTCAACAATACAAAAACATGCTGATTATTACACTACCGAGCTTAAGTGGCGGTCGGTTTTAAAATTATTGTTTTACTGCGATTATAATTTAGAATAATTTTGCCACTTGCGTTGAATGTACCTCAGTATTTCTTATTTTCGTCAAAACCACACAGTGATTGCGGCCAGTGATATCAACTGGAAATTAAAAAACCCTGAATTACCTGTCAAAAATTGCCAGCTATGGGTTCCCCAAAGGCGAACCCGGTCTTCATATAAGCTGTGACAGATCTCGATAACTAGAGCAATGGGAAACTTTGTAACCGGTGGAGAGATTGTACCCATTTTAATACCTACCCAGTTCAGGTTAATATTTGTTCCCTTCAAACATAGGACTGTGGGTAGACAACCTACTATAGAGGCCATTGAGAGTAATTCTACGTCCCTCTAATATAAACACGAATGCGACCGAATAGGCCGAATATTACGCTACCAGAGAATGCCATCATTTTATGTGGCAATGGAATTTACAGCTGAAAGTCGTCAAAAGAATCGTTGCAGATAATTTTCGCTTTTTTGTTTGCACCAGTACATACTCACAGTTTTTCGTGTTTTCTCTCGCTGTATTAGAGAGATTTTCTATTGAAAAAATTAACGGGCTAGGTAAAGCAGTGGTTGCAATGACGTTCAGCAGACTCATGCCTTGGTATGACTCCCTCTACGCTCTATGAGCGTTCTATCTCTTCCTTGCGTCGAAAAGTTATCAGAAAGATAGTTTAGGGTAAGCCGACTTTTTCCAGTTCTAAAAAGCTGACCATTACCTTTGATGATTACCTGGAAACGTCCTAGAACCGCTATTTTAAAATTCGAGGAAGATTGACTCAGCCAGCATCGGACGAAATTCGTGAAAGAGACCTAAAGCCAAGCCGAAAATCAAAGATTTACGTAGATGACGGATGCGAGGAAGCGAATCGAAGGTGCAATTACCGAGATCTGCACAACACGTGGTGTCATCTAGTGAAAAAACTATAGCTATGGACTGACTGCAATCTCATGAGCTTTTAAAGCTCTTTAAACTAGTTAGATTTTTAAAAAAAGAATAAATGAAATGAAGATTCAAGACTGGTGTTCCTTAGAGCATTCAAAATTGCCCTAAAATTGACTATGGATGTTAATCATGGCGCAACTAGATAGGACTTATCTTTTTATGTTGTGGACCTTTTAGATGAAAAGAGTACGATCATACATTTGACATTTCTCGAATCTTGAACCTCGCTACATTTTCACAGTACAAAACTATTACTTTTTTCCATACAAATTGGAAAAACAATCAAAATGGTATATGACCGCTCCAAGGCACGGACATTGAAAGGTATAGTGCCCTGAAAAACGGAGATGAGGGTGTGTTTCTAAAACCGATTCGCTGCAAAACGTACTTTTATAGGAACGATGATCGACGAGCAAACATTGAATTCAATGCATTAACTGCTTTCTTATCCACCTATCAACTTTAGTAATAAATGATTTTATGGAATTCTTTTATTCCACCCACCATAGCAAAATTTGCAAAATTCGTCGTCCAGCAACAGACTGATTGCAATCTAAAATTCGTCGCCATTGAAACATCACGTTGCTTGATCACTGAACACCGCTCACTTGCTCGTAAACACTTTCACCTTCTTCTTCTGTTGATTCATCTTCATCAGACTTTAGAAACTACGAAAATCGTAGCCACTGTGTTGAGTTTCCATTCTATTAGCGATAAATGCCAGCTGCAAAAGATCTTTGTAAGAAGACCGACATCGGTACAGGCAGAGGAAACTACTGGAAGCAACAGAGAACGGAAACAGTCTGAAAATATGTCGTCAGGACTTGTGTGACCACAATGTTCAGCTGTCAGCCTTGGTGAACGACGACGGGATCACCAAGACTTTACGCCATGATAAGAGATCGATAATGGAAACGTTCTGCCTCAACCTTTTCCTTTCCACAATTTTCGTCTGGAGAAAAGCCATTTGGAATCCTTTCGTCGGAGGTTCGAATGGCGATAGAAAGCATGAAGACAAGTAGGGCTTCAGGACCCGATAACGTCACCACGTATTTCCTTAGAAATGGAAGACACAATTTACATGTACTTCTCGCAAATCATAGCCTACCTCCAAAAGGAAAAAATCCCAGACCAGTGGAGAACGTCGCTCACGGTTATCCTATCTAAGAAATGTGACCGAAGGAATCATCGTTACTAACGGCCAATATGCTTGTTGAGTGTTCTCTACAAGCTCTTCACGAGGATTATCCTGTCGCGCATATCAAGGACATTGGATGAGGCGCAACCAGCGGAGCAGGCGAGATTTCGACAAGGATTTTGCTGCAAGAGTAACATCCAAACTTTGTACAGGGCCGCCGAACTATGTTGGGTTTACCACCCGTTTTTAGTTCTGGCTTTTTTCGACTATGAAAAAGCGTTTGACATTGTCGAAACGAAAGCGATCCTATCAGTGCTCGTCGACCAAGGAGTGGACCCGTCGTACATAAGAACACTTCCTGACTCTTATCAGAACTGCTCTACGAAAATTCAGCTTTTCCATCGACCTCTTACTATTACCGTAGGAAAAGAGATTCGACAGGGCGACACAGTATCGCTAAAGGTGTTCAGTGTCACACTGCAGTGGATAATGAAGTAACTCGATTGAGATGAGAAAGACATACGTACTGATGGAATATTCCTATCGAACCTTCGTTTTGCCGATGACGTCGTCATCTTTTCAAGAAGTAC